GTGCAGCTGGCATGGGAGCTTCACTAGAAAGAACAAGGAATGAACATTGGCAAAAGATGAACCTGATTGCCTAGGACCCATTGTGTGAAAAATTGACAATCCTGTTACTTTATTATATTTTTTTTTCCACTTTGAAAAGTGATAAATTTTGTAAATGTGTACTAGGCTTTCACATGAGCGATAGACAGGTAGATTGATAACTTAGCATTCTTAAAGGTAGCCTGGAAAGATGACTATAGCTCTTTTTTTTTAGTATTGCAAATATGAATATTTATGGTCCCAAATCCTTTTGAAATTGCAGAAGACTGAGAAGTTAGATCAACCAACAATAACTCTATTAACTTTAATGCTGGTTTATATGAATATGTCAAAAAAAAAAAATCCTCAAAACTACCAGCATCAGGTGTTAAATCTTATCATTAGTGGGAGATGTATTAGACACATTTATCATTGAAGTTTGACATATATCCAGAGGTGTTTAACAGTCAACTTTGACTTACATTTCTCTGTACTGGAAAGATGAGTATTAGGTAAAGGGAAGCACCAGGCTCGTGGGTGGTTAAGATTGAGCGCTTTGAAGTCAGACATCTCAACAGTACTAATTTTTTTAAATATTTTTATTTATTTCTAGGAGAGAGAGAGAGAGAGACAGTGTGAGCAGGGAAGGGTCAGAGAGAGAGGGAGATACAGACTCTGAAATAGGCTCCAGGCTCTGAGCTGGCAGTCAGCGCAGAGCCCGACGCGGGGCTCGAACCCACGAACCGCGAGATCATGACCTAAGCGAAAGTCGGACGCTTAACCGACTGAGCCACCCAGGTGCCCCATCAGCAGTACTATTTTTTAAAAGGTGATATCTTGGGGCTCCTGGGTGGCTCAGTCAGTTAAGCATCTGACTTCGGCTCAGGTCATGATATCACGGTTCGTCAGTTCAAGCCTTGCATTGGACTCTGTGCTGACAGCTCAGAGCCTGGAGCCTGCTTCAGGTTTCTGTCTCTCTGGCTCTTTGCTCCTCCCCCACTCGACTCTGTCTTATCTTTCAAAAATAAATAAACATTAAACATTATTTTTTAAAATAAAAGGTGATACTTTAAGTGACTTACTTAATTGTAGCAGTTTCTCACACAGAGAGTCGTGACAATGAGGACTTTTTTTTTCTAGGAAGCAACTTTATTCCTGCCAGCACTGCTCAATTGGGTTCACACCCAAAGAACTGAGCCCTGAACGCCAAGTGGAGCAGTTTTATATATATATATATATATATATATATTTTTTTTTTTTACTTCTTTGTCTCCCATATATGGCAACACACAAAAATGTAATCTGATAAGTGGTCTCATGTTACAAGGTCATGAGGGATGTTGTCATGTACACATACACATATAGCCAGGTTACCTTGAGGCTTTTTTTTTCTTTTCTTTCCTTAGGGAGGGGATCCTACCACATAATAATCCTACCACATAATCTTAATTGGGTTTTTTCACATGTAAATGAGAGTAATATTATTAAATAACAAATACGTAGTTCTAGTAAAGGAGACAATCCATATTGTCAAAATTGTTTGACCAATTGTAAATTATTTTATTTTTATCATAAACTTCAATATTTTGTATTATTCATTTATTTACTCATTCAACAAAAAAGTTATCTAAGTAAATACCATGTACTTATTCTAGTTTGGAATTTACTAGTGAATAAAACAGAAGAAAATATTTGCCCTTGGGAAGTTTTGTGTTTTTTTTTTATTTTGTTTGTTTTGTTTATGTGTGGAGTTCCACTGAGTATCCAAACTTTTGCTTAATTGATTATTTTAAAATGGCTTTTTATTGCATCTGAAAATTGTGAACTTCAACTTCTACCTCATCATTAATTCTAATCATGGTGCTGTCTCTTCAGAGATTATCCAGAGAAGTTGGTCTCAGTTCTAGTACTGATTTGACTTCATAGAACACCCCTCTTACAAAAGATGGCCTGTGGAAGGCTGCTGGTTTTTGGTCGATGTAACACTGACTTTTATTCCATAGGCTGTAGCTCTACAGTTAACTACTTTTTCCATTGAGCATGTATTTGAAGAGAAGGAGACAGAATGTCACTAGCCATATTCTGTGCTGTCACATCTCATGCTGGAGAAGAGTAAATCAACTTGCATCTTTTCTTAAAGAAAATAAGAGCCAAAGTTACTTAAGGAAGAATAAGATGAAAAGCCCTCAAATGTACAGTGTTAACTACATAGAACTGTTTTTCTCCGAGGCCTAGTTTTAAAGAAAGCCATGTTTTATTTTTGGTAGAAATGAGCCTTTTCTAGGGCTATTTAATTGTACTGGCAAAATTTGGCACTCTATAGGACTTTGATTTCTTTTTTTTTTTTTTTTTTACATTTTTTTAATGTTTATTTTTTTAAGAGAGAAAGAGAGCGGGAGCTGGGGAGGGGCAGAGAGAGAGGGAGACAGAATCTGAAGCAGGCTTCAGGCTCTGAGCTGTCAACACAGAGCCCAACACGGGACTCAGACTTAGAAAATGTGAAATCATGACCGGAGCCGAAATTGGATGCTTAACCTACTGAGCCACCCAGGCACCCCAGGACTTTGATTTTTGATTTTTATAGCACCATCTTAGTGCTTAGTTTCCTTTTATATATGTGTGTGCATGAGTGCATTTGTGTATGTTTATATATGTATAAAAAATAAAAAATTATTTTATCATCATAGTTTTCATGTATTACTATAAGATTGAGCACACCTTAAATCATTGTTTCTTTCCATAAAGATTTTCAATGGCCCATTGAAATGGTCAAAATCATTGCCAGGAATTTCTTCTCTATTGTTCTTGAACTGCACACATATTTTGAAACGGGGTGAAAAATACAGAAATTACTTCTAAGGTCTTCTTATAATGTCTCAGTTTCTCCAGATAAAATAAAATCATTCAAAGATGCTCTTCACTTCTGTTTGTTCTCCTGCCACATCTATTCTCACTACATTTTTTCCTTCTTTCTCTTTCCTTTGCCTCTTTGCTGCTTACACTACAGGTATAGTAAGAAATGAAGAGCTGGCACACTTAATGTAGGCAGAATCAGGAAAAAGTCTCATTTTCCTTTTATCTCAGGCCCCAAAAGCAGACATACATGTTACCATCAATCAATTTTAAAATTGTCCTGTAAAATACTTACCTATTTAGCTTTTTGATCTTATTGATATGCTAACCAACACATAAACTACCTCCTTCAATCAATCATTCATTCAGAATTTGCACAGCCATTTCTCCACGGAGTGCTAGAAGAATCATATTGCTGTTCCTCATAGCAAAGTAATGTTTTGCCTTTTGCTAGCTAAGGAAAGCAGATTTTACTGAATTCACAATAATCCATTCATGAATTCAGGTACTTTTAATCCAAGGCTTGAATTTTTCTGCCTGCCGCATCTAGATCCTCTGAATCCATAGCTGAGAGATGGCTAGGAAATTGGGCAGCCCTGTTTTGACAGAGTCAATATTGACAGTGTTGGCATCGCTGAGTTCCAAATGTTTTATCTTGGCAAGGGGCAGAAAAGTTGGGGGATCAGTGGAGTCTATAATTTATTGCTCATTCAGAGTGCCAAAATATTTTCACTGAAATCAGATACTTTAGTCTTAAAACAATCACACCAATCTCCCTACATATTGTCCTCTGTCATAGATCAACAGGGAATAAGTTGACACATGTGGTTGACATCAGATCAGATTTTGTAGGTTATGGAGACAGAGCTGACTTCAGCATTTTAAGCTGCTTCTTTAATTTAGAAAGCCACTTAGAAGGAAAGATGGTCAGGTAACCCACTGCTACATTTTAACATTAAGATGATTTTGCATAGCAATATTCTCTTTTAGGTTTGAAAATACTGTTATGGTTCTGATGTGAGTGATAGCCAAAGAGTTTTCACCAAAATATTTGAGTCATTCTGATCATCTTTGGCCTGGTCTCCTATTGCTGCTACTCAGTTCAACCCAAGCCCAAGAAACAGGTGTCTTATTTAGCAATTCCATCATAATTAAGTAGCTAAATCAAAAATTTGTTAGCCTCTATTGTATAGTTCTTCTTCATGAACTTTTAAGTACTTCATGTTAAATGAGCCTTCAGTTAGGAGTTCATGATAAATATATTTTAAATTTATCAAATGTATGCAATTGTGTTGAATTTTATAATTTAAAAAGTAAAGCAAAAATAGGCTTTAACAAATCTTTTTCCTTTTAGAAAACAAAGGCACATACCTTTGACAAGTACTATTAAGAGCCTTAATGTAAAGAGAAATGTATAGACCATTTTAGGTGAAATTAGTTTGACCTTGCTGTTTTGTGCAGTGTTTTTTGTTTGTTTGTTTCCTTTTTTGGTCGTTTTCCATTTTCAAGAAACAGTTCATTTTCTTAAATGAAGAGATTCTGAGAAGCAGTCATTCCAAACAATCTCCAGAACACAATTTCAAGCTACTGGTCCAAAGTATTTGGCACTTTAGGCAATAATTTATAATCCTCCATTAGACCTTACCATTTGAAATAATCACAGTTTTGTTATTTTATCTTGAAAATTGTGTTCTCTGGGGCTGCCATTCAAAGAAAAATATACCAAAATGTAGATAAAACCAATCATTCTGTCATTCCCTGTTGTGCATTTTAGTGGAGATGATGGTGACAGATGAAAATTCTTTGAAAGAAGGATTGCCTCTGTGTATCAGCTCAAACGTAACTTGTTTTGCATTGTCAGATAACAATGCTGACTGGGGCAATGGAAAAATAAACATGGATGGGACACCACTGGAAAAGTCCATCACTCAATTTCTACCAATAATAAATAAATGGAGAAAAAAATATATATTCATTACATGGTTGAAAGACCCGAAGCCCATAACATTTAGAAATGCAATTTCCAAACATCCTGTGAGCATTTTCAGAAGCTGTAGCTGAATATCAATTGGGTATTAGTTCATCCCCAAAGTCATGTTGCTATTCTTTTTTTCTTCCCCATGTTTCAGTCTTCCTTGAATGACACAGCTGAACACAAGCCTTGACCAACTGTGGGTGAGGGCTGCTATAAAGTTGACAAGCACATGGGAGAAGAGAAACTGCTGAGTATATGTCATGGAGAGACCACCCATAATGAGGTCAGAACATTTTTCAAAACTTCCTAATTAAAAAAAGTTTTATTGTTGGTCAGCTGACACTGTCATTAAGTCAGAGTTCCAAAATTTTGCAGCCATGTTAACAAGGTGCACTGACATGTCCTGCATTAATGAATGTCATATAAAAAGTCATAAGATCACTAGAAATACTGCTCTGTATTTCGAGAATTGTATTCTGAATCTAAATATAGATACTAACTGAAATTTTTCACTGGTAACTGGACTGACCAGTTTATCGGCAGACTAACAATTGAAAGGGAGAAGACAACCTTTATGAATTGGATCGTCTTCTCCAAAATCTGGCACTTGAGTGACACATGAAAGCCAAATATTTAATAGACAGTGGGTACCCTGTCAATTGTTATCTACAATGAATTTATTCTCTCTACCTACTGTTTCATCTTCCTCAAAATAAAAACTGTCACCTGACTTTCAAGATATCCACTGAGTATGTAACTTTTCCAATCTTAATGTTTACAGTATCATTTCTGCTCCTTTCCTATTTTATTACATGGAGCAAAAGAAAAAAAAAGGAAAAATAAAAAAACAAGGTATGTAAGCTCCAGAGAAGTCTTTTATATCTAGAAATTAGTCAAGATACTGCTTTTCTGCTCTCTGGCTTTTGTTTATAAGTACTCCCACCATGCTGGATAACAGATCTCCACCTCCCACCATTATTGAAAGAAATCAATATTATGAAAGTATGATAAGTTCCACCAGATCACCTGTCATTAAGATTTGTGTGGGAAATGTATTTTAGGAGTGGTCTTTTTGGCTTCCCATCTTGTTCTTGCCACAAGGTATCTCAACGTGTCAATGGCAAAACAAGTGGAATTGAGAGTATTACAGAATTTTTGTGTGTTGTTTCCTTGAGGTATAAATATGAAGGGTTTCAGATTGGATATACAAGTAATCATGACCAGAAAAATATTTCAATCTCTTCAGTGATAGAAAGCAAAACAAAGAATGTTTCTTTGCTTTTGGTTTGAAGAAATAACTCCATTCAGTAAGAAATGGACTTTAATCCCTAAATTTCTTTGGATTAATGCCACATGTTGTGCATAGATTGCGAGGAAACTACAACTGTGCACATAACAGCAGAGGTTGGGGAAGGAAGACCCTCAGAGAGGAGAGGTTTGATAGCATGCACTGGAGGTCAAAGGGGTTGTAAAATAGTCACCTGAGACAGAGCCAGACCCCAACCACATCTTTTCCCTGAGATATGTACATTGGACACATTTGTCAGAGAAACATGGGACTAAGTTTGATTCCATTAATATGAAATGTTATCATCTGGCCTGGTCTTTCTGTATTTCTCTTTGTATTTACTCCCTTTCAAAAAGCAAAACATGAAGAACATTGTAGAAAATATGTTTAACATAGTTGAAAGGACAATATTTAACTATTTTATCACTATTAGTTTGTGTGACCAAACACTTCTGCTTGCAGACCCTGGAATCATGGGTTGGGATCTGGAAAGATCCTGCACAGCCATTTGGGTTAACCCCCCGGTCGTAACCAATCAAACACTCCTGTATTCATTTTGCAGTAAAATCTGCTGATGAAGAGAGGCCAGCCGGTACCTGGAGCTCTCTTGTGAGTAGTTAATTTTATTGTCATCGATACTACTGTTTCTCTGAGTGTAACAAGACCACATTCTTAAAGTATAATTCAGATTTTCTCCCAAACTTGATTACCTTGTCTCCCAATTAATATAATTTGGAGGAGTTTTACTCTGTTTGTGCCTGTCTTTACTCAGTTTTTACGTACGGAATTAGACCTTAACTTGTAGAAGTTGTTATTGTATTATTTTTATTACATTTAAAAGCTGTAGTCAGTTATTGTTTTGTTAATGTTCAAGGCCTTCTAATTTGTATCTGACGTATTTCCATTAAATTATATTGTACTCTATGAATGGCAAGGAACGTAAATCTGACATGGATAAAACATGTGTATTTATGAGATATAGCTATAAATTCATAAGATTGATTGGGTGTGTGATTTGGGAGTTCAGTTTTATAATTTTATAACCACTCCTTATATGGTTATAGATTCATTTTTCCCAAAATAGTTAATATTTTCAGGGAGTGCTGCCCTTCAATCTTTTCAGAAACAGAGTTGCTGATAAGTAAATTCAGAAATATAGCACGGCATAATGCTTTGCAATCATCTTATTCCAGGAGCGGATCACTTAAATTGGACTGGACTGGTAGAGTTCATAAAGGCCTTCAAGCCAAATAAGCAAAGGAAAAATAAAAAGGCTGCCAGGAAAATTACTAGTATTTGCTAAATGATTTTCACTTGCTATTCTACTTATAAAACTGACTCCCTTACTCAGTCTACTCTACCACTGCTGTGCTCATCTGGGGGAAGGGCTGGGAAGAAACTTGGAAGATCTGTTGACCTTCCATTCATATTGGATAATTGGCTCTTTCTTTCTCCAAAGTGAATCCATACAATGATCAGGAAAAGAGAGAGACAAGATAAGGAGTACAATAAGCTGGAGGTAAATAGGAATTTAAGGCTGTTACCTACTTATGTGTGTTTAATTGAGTTTGCCTGTGAGCAGGGTCTTGGATTACAAAATGAAGGAAGGAACTATGTAGAGTAGCATAGGGAGTAGGGTTGGTTGGGAAAGAGAGGCTCTGCTGGGTGATGATAAGGCAGAAGAACCCTGAAGCATAGAGAAGCTTTTCATCACGGAGGATTCTGTGGTTATAAAGCCGTGTCCCTGAAACACCTTAGGCCCAGGATGCAGAATGCCTTTTTCCCTCTAGTGAACCTTTAATTCAGGAGTATTTGTTCTGTGCTGAAAACACTAGCTACCATCTGTATGTTGAAATATCACTTCCCTAGTAGGGGGCTTATTCTTGTTAACATTAGATTATTGCCACACTTCAGCTGTAGCTCTCCCTCCGGAACCTCAAGCTACATAATAATGTTCTACATACAGCCTGGTATTGTAGCCACTGGCCACACGTGGCTGCTGAGCACTTGAAATGTGTCTGATACAACTGAGGAACTGAGCTTTTAATTAATTTAAAATTGAATAGTCACCTGTGGCTGTGGCTTGGAAATATCATTGGCTTGGCAACGTCACAAGTCATATGACTGAGCAATTTACTAGGGCATGTTGAACCTTCCTTTCCTCTCCAGGGCATGACTGGCAAGAGGTGTCACCCTTTGAAAATTGGCATCCTGAGTACATAATAAGTGTGTTGTGCCCAATTTGAGGGGCCTCAAACCCTGTTACCGATGGGGTCCTGGAATGTTTTCACAGGATCCCCCCTAGTCACAGTCCTGTGGCGTGTCCGCCTGACCGTAATTGACCACTTCTAAATACCGATTTGTCCCGAGACCAAGAATAGAAATAGACAGAAATAGACCAGACACGTAGAGACAAATAGGTTCTTACCGGCCGGCCAGTTGACCCTTCAGTTTGGGGGTCCTGGGGGTCTTGGGGAATCCCGGACGAGCCCCCAAATATTGTGCCCGATTCGCGAGTCCCCAGAGACCACCAAGGAGCCGACACCGATGCAAGTACAAAAGGGTCTTTATTACAAGCTCGAGCAGGGGCTCACCCGCCTACTGGTGTAATGGCAGCAAGCTGAAGCCCCGAACAATAGTGAGCAAGGTTTTTATGGGGTAAGGGATGGGGGTGTTACAGTGTACATGTTGTACGTATAGCGTCATCACATAAGTACTAATCATAATTGTACAGCACTCATGGTAACAGTTTTGACTATTCAATATCTGTGAGGTGTTTGTTATTTTTGGCGGGGACCCAATCATGACTTTTGAGAATCCTTTGAAAATGACTAATTATGAGGTGAGCTCAAAGGGCCTACGTGGGGTTTAGGCAAGCGGTGAGTAATTGGCTAGTTTGTATAAAATAACTGTCTACACTTCTCAGCCCTGACTCGGATCACAGGAATGTTTTTTTGATTAGCTGATCTGAGGGCAGTCTGAGGATGGCTTCAGCCTTGAACAATCTGAGGCTTTTCCTGGAACTGGGACTACATGTAGCCCGAGGTTGCTCTTAATGGAGGCCTTAATCTCAAGATGATGTTACTTAGGCTCTTCAGGTGCACACCTCTAGACGGAGCCCAAGACCTTCCCTGAATACCTCTCACTTCAGGCTGCAGAGGAAACCAATTCCTAGTTAGGCCCTTCCTACCCAATGAGATCAAGTGTTACTAAGGACTGTGAGTACAGATTAAAGCATTGACCAGTCCAGGTGGCTCAGTCGGTTGAGTGTCTGACTTTGGCTCAGGTCATAATCTCACAGTTCATGGGCTTTAGCCTCGCATCGGGATCTGTGCTTACAGCTGTACTTACAGCTAGCTCAGAGCCTGGGGCCTGCTTCAGATTCTGTGTCTCCCTCTCCCTCTCCCTCTCTCTTTTTCTCTGACCCTCCCTTGCTCACACTCTCTCTCTCAGAAATAAATAAAACATTTTAAAAAAGCACTGACCAGTGAATATGGAACACAAAGATAATGATGTAAATATCTACAAACTTGAATCGTGAGAAGGCCATAAATGCCTGATGCCCAAAAGGTAGAAGACTTGCTGGCTAGCTCTCATAATCCACCTGAGGCAGTCTCTCCCTTCTTTCTTCTCACCTCTATTCTAGGACAAGATTAAGATATTGAGAAGCCCTACACTCTTAAAGATTATGGTGTTTCATTCATGTATCATTATAAATGCAAACAACATAGTAAAATAAATGTAAAGAAAGTCAATAAAGCTTTTTGCAAAAATGCCGTAGCACCCAGCACAATGGTGAGTCTGCCTTTTAGGTTATCCCTAATTCCCTGTCTCCCCCCCCCCCCCCCCCCCCCCCAAGCACTGTTGTGTCAATTCGACAGCTATTGCCCTGTTATGGAAAAGACCTGGTCTTTGGGGCAGGCAGCCCACACCAATAGCCTCTAAAGGCAGTGAAGTAAATGCTTTCTTTTACTCTCCTCTTCCTGTTTCTCTAACTCTGGAGCTGCCTCTTCCACCACTTGGAATTAAAAACCAAAGATCTGGGATAGACTTTGGAGAAAGCAGGGATGGAAGATCCAATGGCCATTAGTTTTTTATTGTTCCTTTAAATCAGTGGTTCTTAAACTTGAGTAGTAGAATAATCTGGAGGGTTTGTTAAACTACAGACTGAATGGCCCCATTCCAGAATGTGTGACTTGATAGGTTTGGGTGGGGTCTGAGAATTTGCATTTCTTTTCTTTTCTTTCTTTTTTTTTTTTTTTGGTAAGTTTATTTTGAGAGAGAAAGAGAGCACATCATGGGAAGGGCAAAGAGAGAGGGGGAGAGAGAGAATCCCAGGCAGGCCCCAAACTGACAGCACATAGGCTGATGTAGGGCTCAAACCCACAAATTGTGAGATCATGACCTGAGCCGAAATCAAGAGTCAGACACTTAATCGACTGAGCCACCCAGGTGCCCCAATTTGCTTTTTTGATAGGTTTCCAGATAAGTCTTATGATGCTGGTCTGAGGACCATACTTTGATAACAATTGCTTTAGGTCTTGCTTTGGAATTTAGGGTCGGAACTCTAGGTGGTAAAAATAAGTTGTCTTGGCTCCTTTGCCAGCTCAGTAGTGTGTGTGTGTGTGTGTGTGTGTGTGTGTGTGTGTGTTCCCAGGGAACTCTTAAAAGAGGAGCTGCTAAGGGCATAAGCTAGCATTTCCAAGTCTCCTAACCAAATTCAGCCTTTCAAATAACTTTTGAATGGTTCCCAAGAACAGGACCCAAATACTGCTTCTATTTTGTTTTATTCTCTCTTCTTTCTAGATTGCTATTTTTTATAAACTCTATTCTCCCTTGGCAATCTTACGCTTTTCATTTTCTGAGCTGTATTTCAGAATCAGGGATTTTGGTTAAGACAGAAATAAGTCAACCAACCACTTTCATTTTACTGTGCCCGTAATAGATAACAAAGCAGAACTGCCCCCCATGACATTGCCAGTTTTTCTATGCCTGTAGGAGAGGAAGAGCCTGAAATGATTTTTTGCTAGGCCCATGACAGGTCTGTACAAGCAAACTTCCTTCTGTGCATGGAAGAGTTGAGGTTAAACTGGAAGTCTTAAGAGGTTGTGGAGAAAGATATGAGGTTGCTTGAGACCATTTTCTAAATGGAGGGAGACTTAACTTTGAGAATTTGGTGATCACCTACTGCAGTACAGCTTGTTTGAAAATGGGCCGCTTACCAGTCCACTGTGGGGCCTTCTCAAAATACGGCAGCCTGGGCCTCACTCCTAGAGAGTCTGATTGAGGAGGTCTCATTTCATAAACGGGGAACCTGCTATTGCAGTTGCCTGAAACAACCTGTGCTGTTTCTGCATTGGCTGCTTCTATTTAAATTAGGTGACATTGATGACAATCCCCCCACCAAAGAGAAAAAGCCACCTCCATCCTCTCACCTAAACATGACAGCATTGCTGGTGGCTGAGACTGAAAGGGAAAAGGATTTTTAGCTTTCTGACCCTACCACACATTCAAAAGCTGTAGGGAGAGGAAGAGTGCATTATGCTTACTTCTTCTACGAGGGCACTTTTGTAAATAGTCCACACATCTTAGGTCTCCAAACACACACT